ACGTCAGCCCCATGTCCCAGACAGGGACGCCGGGGCACAGAAGCCAAGTCCTTGGCCAGGTTCACGCACACAGCCTGCGAGCTGCAGAGCCGGCAGGAGCTCTGGGCGGGAGAACGCGCGGTCCATGGCATCTGTCCCGTAAAGCACTAACTCCTGTTACTTTCGCGGGCAGCCTGTCCACGTGTGCCCAGAGCCCTCACCTCATCGGGCGCCAGGGACAGTCCCCGCCCGTCTCCCACCATGTCCACCCCAGCACCGTTTCCATCGCAGGCACTGGGGAAACTCCCAGGGGAAGAGTGGGGAATTCCTGGGAGCCGGGGGCGGCCGTCCTGGGACCTGGCTTGCTCTGAGCAAGGCCGATGCCTCGGGCTGGGCACAGAGAACGGCCTCGTCCTCACGGAGGGGTGGGGGAGGATGACAGCTCCCTGGGGACCCCGGCAGGTCACCCAGGAGAGGACGAGGGGAACTGAGGCACATCCCGCCAGCCCCTTTGACCTCTGCTCCTGGGGACACCTCTCAGCTCTGCTCGATGGCCTCGGGGCAGGAAGTCTGTGGGTGGGGCGTGGGTGCAGCCTGATGGTTTGGGGTCGGGGTGAAGCCGGCAGGCAGACCCTTAGCTCTGTCACTGGACGTTTGGCTCCACCTAGTGGCCTCTGGTATTCTCACCGCACCGACAGAGACCAACATGGGGGTAGGGTAGCAGGTGGAAGAGTTCCACAGAGGGAGGGGCGGCTGTAGACCACAGCAAGGTGTTATCCCCTGCATGAGGAACCGGAAGAGAGGGGCTGGTAGGCTCCAGACACAGAGAAAAGATGAAGTTGTGGAAAGGGTGGCTGCCCAGTTTGCACTGTGTCTATGTGTCGAAATGCTGCACTGCATCCCTTTAAAACATGCAAGCATGCGGCACTGTGTCCTGGCTGCTCCGCTTCCCATCCAGCTCCCTGCTAATGCACCTGGGAAGGCAGTGGAAGGTGGCTCAAGTCCTTGGCCCCCTGCCACTTCTGTGGGAGACCCGGATGAGCCCTGTGTTCCTAGCTTCAGCCCCATCCTTTGCAGTCATTTAAGGAGTGAGCTGGCTGATGAAGGACTCTCTCCCTTTCTTTCTGTTTCTCCGTGAGGGTCTACACCGCGGGGGCAGGTGCCTGTGGAGCACAGACCCCCGGCAGAGATGGCGTGGCCAAGACCTGGCTTTGGCCCTGACTTCTCCAGTCTTTAGTTTCCACTTCTGCAAAGTAAGAGGGCTGGTGTAGGTGGTCTCGAGGGTCTCTCCCCATGTTAACATTTTCTAAGGCTTCACAAAGAGTGACTGGGGCTGGCGTTGTGGTGTAGAGGGTAAAGCCGCCATCTGCGACACTGGCATCCCACATGGGCACCAACCAGCTACTGTGATGTCCTAGCTGCTCCACTTCTTTTTATTTTATTTTATTTTAATTTTTTTTGACAGGCAGAGTGGACAGTGAGAGAGAGAGACAGAGAGAAAGGTCTTCCTTTGCCGTTGGTTCACCCTCCAATGGCCGCCACGGCCGGCGCGCTGCGGCCGGCACACCGCGCTGCCGATGGCAGGAGCCAGGTGCTTCTCCTGGTCTCCCATGCGAGTGCAGTGCACTCCCTGGCCACAGCAGAGAGCTGGACTGGAAGAGGGGCAACTGGGACAGAATCCGGCACCCCGACTGGGACTAGTGCTCTATTTCTGATCCAACTCCCTGCTAATGGCCTGAGAAAAGCAGTGGGAGACGGTCCAAGTGTTGGGCTCCTGCATGCACATGGGAGACCTGGAAGAAGCTCCTGGCTTGGTCTGCCCACGTGGGAGACTCAGAAGAAGCTTCTGGGGGGCCGGCACTGTGGCATAGTGGGTAAAGCTGCAGTGCCGGCACCCCATGTGGGCTCTGGTTCGAGTCCTGGCTGTTCCACTTCCGATCCAGCTCTCTGCTATGGCCTGGGAAAGCAGTACAAGATGGCCCAAGTCCTTGGGCCCCTATTCCCGTGTGGAAGATCTGCAAGAAGCTCCTGGCTCCGGGCTCCTGGCTTTGGATCAGCATAGCTCTGGCCATTGCGGACATTCCGGGAGTGAACCAGTGGATGGAAGACCTCTCCCTCTCTCTGCCTCTCCTTCTCTCTCTATGTAACTCTGACTTTCAAATAAATAAATCTTAAAAAAAAAAAAAAGAAGCTTCTGGCTCCTGGTTTTGGCCTGGCCCAGTGCTGGCCATTGCGGCCATCTGGGGAGTGAACCAGCAGATGGAAGATCCGTCTCTCTTTCTCTCTGTCTCTCTGTGTGACTCTTTCAGATACATAAATAAACATAAACAAAAAACAAACAACAAAGCAGTGTCTAGGAGTCTCAGCTTTGGGGCTGGACAAAGCTGTATTTGGATCCTAGCTGTGTGTCCTCGGGCAAGTCCCTTTACCTCTCTGGGCCTGGGAAAATAACAAGAAGACACAGGAGAGCTCAGGTAATGGTGCTAATGGTGATTAGCTGATGGTGCTAATGGCGACTTTGTACCCAAACAGCCACACCAAGAGGCAGAGGCCCAGAGCCTAATGCTGCTGGGGTGCTGGGGGCTCTGGGGGTTTGGGAAGCGAGAGTGTCTCCTGAGCACGGTGCAGGGGCCGCGGGGGCGGTGACAAGGAAGGCGGACACAGGCCCTCACCAACTCTCTTTTCTTCTTCTCGGGTGCAGGGCCCCTCTGGCTAGGCTGGGGCCTTCTCCAGTGGGAAGTGTCTTGCAGAAGTTGCGTCCACTCTGGGGGACACCCCAGGTCACGTTTGCCATCTGCCCTTGTGAGCGACTCCCACCCCTGGCTGGACAGGCCCAGTTTCTCTTCTCTTTTTCTTGTCGCAAGGAGCCGGAGAGCACAGCTGCCTGCCCCCTCCCCATTTGATTCGATTGTCTTCCCCAGCGCCCCTTCCTCTGCTGCCTGGGCGAGGTGGGCGACCCAGGCCTTGCCCTGCTGCCCGCCATGCACACATGCTGAAGCCCACGTCGCCACGCCCAGCAGTTCTTCCCTGTGACTCAACCCCAGGAACCCACGGCACACAGACTTCCGTACGCGCAGAGTTGAGTCCCCAGATACACACCAGGAGCTCCAGATCTCCCCTGCATGGGGTGGGTATCCACCCATGCCTGGGTCAGCCATGAGCGCTCCCTCCACAGCAGGCGCAGGCGCAGGCGTCAATGCTGCTGGTTTTCTGGAATCTCGGCTTCTCTTCACCTGCTTTGCATCCCCTGGCTCAGCTCCCAGAGCCTGCCTTGGTCACGCCCCTGTCCCTCTCCATCGCCTTCGGGATGGGATCCTCAGCTCTGTGGCCTGGCACACAAGTTCCTTCTGGTTCATCCCCTGCTGATCTCTGCAAGCGCCTTGCCCTAAGTGCCCAGGACTCTCCCAGAGTCCTCTGTGTTCCAGCTTCCTCGTCACACTCGCTGTTCTGCAGGCATGGCTGGAGCCTCCTTCCTCCCTGTGGTCTGTCCAGCAAGCTCACAGCCCGTATTCAAATGTCACCCTGGGTGCTGACAGACTGGCAGGTTCCTCCAGGCTCCTCTGGGCGCCCTCGCCATTGTGGCCACTGCCTTTTTTTTTTTTTTAATTAATTAATTAATTTGAAAGAGCTACACAGAGAAGGAGAGGCAGAGAGAGAGAGAGAGAGAGAGAGGGAGGTCTTCCTTCCACTGGTTCACTCCCCAATTGGCTGCAATGGCCAGAGTTGTGCCTATCCAAAGCCAGGAGCCAGGAGCCTCTTCCAGGTCTCCCACATGGGTGCAGGGGCCCAAGGACTTGGGCCATCTTCTACTGTTTTCCCAGGCCACAGCAGGGAGCTGGATCAGAAGCGGAGCAGCTGGGACTCAAAGCAGTGCCCGTATGGGATGCCAGCACTGCAGGCGGAGGTCCCACCAGCTACGCCACAGCACCGGCCCCAGGCCCTCGCGTTCTAGTGCATCTACCATGCTCAGCTGGAGCTGTTCAGTACCCCTGGGAATGAAGCCGCTCGCCGGACAGGTCTCTCGCACTTCCGCACACCGAGTGTCTCGTGTGCAGCAGGCACTCAGCCAGGATGTGTTCCTGACAATGTCCACCCACCTTGTGTCAGCCTCAGTTGTGGTTAACATTTTTGTTGTGGCACATGGATCAAGGCACCGCTTGCAACACTGGCATCTGGCGTCGGAGTGCCGGCCGGAGCTCTGACTGTTCTGCGTCCAGTCCCGCTCCCTGCTAATGTGCTTGGGAAAGCAAGTACTTGGGCCCCTGCCACTCATCTGGGACTTCAGGAAGGAGTTCCTGGCTCGTGGCTTCAGCCTGGCCCAGACTTGACACTTGTGGCCATTTGAGGAGTGAAGCAGGAGATGGAACTCTCTCTGTCTCTCCCTTTCCTATCCATATGCCTTTCAGATAAAAAAAATATTAAAAAAGTAAATTTCAGTTGTTGGGGGTGGGCTCTGTGGTGCAGTGGTGAGGCTGCTGTTTGGAGAACTCATGTCGTGGTCCCACCTCTGCTTCCGATCCAGCTGCCTGCTACAGCCCAGCCCAGGAGGCAGCAGGTGAGCCCTTGCCAAGCATAGGAGACCTGGGTGGAGCGCCTGGCTCCTGGCTTGGGCCTGGCCCAGCCCCAGCTGTTGCGCACATTTAGGAGTGAACCAGAAGGCAGAAGGTCTCTCTGTTGTTGTGCCTTTCAAGTAAACTGAAATTTCAGATTTTGAATCTGACAAGTGGGAGCGTGGCGAGGGGTCCACCGAGAAACCAGGTGAGTGCTGGGACCCAGAAAATCTCAGGAATCGTTTGGCTTTGCATGTGGGTGCTGCCTGGAGTCAGGCAGAACCAGGGGCCCTGTGCCCCACTTCTGGTTCTGCCCCTGCCTCGGGGGGTCACCCTGGGGCAGGCTGAGCTGCCCTGGTTGTGCGGGGCCCGAGAGGGAGTGCTGGGGGTGAAGAGCTGTGTGAGGGCAGCAGAGACTGCTCAGTGTCCAGCAGAGGGCCCTGCCCAGCCCGTGGCTGGGAGGGTGGGAGGGAGGGCCGGCCACGGCAGACGCCTGACCGGGGCGGACCAGCTGCCAGCTGCCTCTCTCCGTTCTGCCCAGCTTGCAGCCCTTGCCTCACCTGCTCTCCCCAGGCAGCGGCTGCCTCCTGCTCATCCGGCCATGCGCTGGCTGTGGCCCCTGGCCGTCTCTCTCGCTGCGGCGTCGGCCACCGGACTGCACGGTGTCTTGGGCAGGTCCAGAGCCGAGGAGGTCCAGGAGCAGCAGGGCCGAGCCAGGAGGGGCACCGAGGATGAGGAGGCCAAGGGCGTGCAGCACTACGTGCCTGAGGAGTGGGCTGAGTACCCCCGGCCCATCCGCCCTGCTGGTCTGCAGCCCACCGAGCCCCTGGTGGCCACCAGCCCCCGCCCGGACAAGGACAGGGGCACGCCAGGCAGCGGGCAGGAGCTGAGGGCCAACCTGACGGGGTCCCCGGGCCAGAGGCTGCGGATTCAGAACCCCCTGTACCCGGTGACCGAGAGCTCCTACAGCGCCTACGCCGTCATGCTGCTGGCCCTGGTGGTGTTTGCCGTGGGCATCGTGGGCAACCTGTCGGTCATGTGCATCGTGTGGCACAGCTACTACCTGAAGAGCGCCTGGAACTCCATCCTCGCCAGCCTGGCCCTCTGGGACTTCCTGGTCCTCTTCTTCTGCCTCCCTGTGGTCGTCTTCAATGAAGTCACCAAGCAGAGGCTGCTGGGGGACATCTCTTGCCGGGCCGTGCCCTTTGTGGAGGTGAGTGTGGGGCCCCGGGAAGCGGAGCTGCGGCCTGGACCTGCTGCCCCTACTCTGTCTCGGGGGGAGGGGGGCATGTGGGGGTGAGCGTGGCGCTGGTTCTGGGGGCTCTCAGCAGACCCTGGCGGGCAGGTGTGCAGGGTCCCATGTTCCAGCTGCCTGCTCCCCTGCTTTGGCCGTGCGCACATCTTCCCTTTCTCTAGACCCTGCACTGGCTCTCCCTGCTCCACCCTGCCCCGTGTCCACACCGAGACATCACCCTGCCCTTTGTGCGCCCGTGGCTGCTGCCCAGTGCCCACATCTCCCTTCTTTCCTGCCTGGTGTCCTGTCTCCCCGCAGGGAGCTCCCACGGTCCCTCCCCACTCAAGTGAGTGCCCCCACCAGAAGGAAAGGCCCTTCCTTGCTGTGACTTATTGTCACAGCCTCCTATGCCCTCTCTGAAGGGGGAGACCTGGTTTGGGCTCTGTCCTTGTCACTCACCTCTCCTTTCCAGTTTCCCCATCACCCAACTGGGGTAGACCAGATGGTCCTTCCAGCGAGCCTGTTCTATGATTCCTGAGTCTCCCCCAGCACCCTCATTTCTATGTTAACACAAACACAAGAGTGTTGGAGCATGTGCAAACCACACAGAGATGCCTTCACCAAAACACGGCAAAAATACACCAATGTCTGTGCAAGGAGGCAAGACACAGCAAGACGGCTCTCTGCATAAGAACACAGGACAAGCAGGCAGCCTCGTAGGTTCAGCTCTGTGGGGGTAAGGATGGGGACTGTTGCGGCTGCCACCTCTCTGTGAAGGCTGGTGTCCCTCTGAGGCACGCGTTGAGTGATGCAGGGGACCTGCCTGCCTGAGGAGCAGTCAGGGGCAGGCACTGGGACACAGGTCCTGTTCCCAGCCCTGTTCCCGGTCACCTTAGTGGACTGGCCTTTGGCAGCTCCGCAGTTGGAGCCGTCTTTTGCTTCCCAACCCAGGGAGACCACCTACTGGTGGCCCAAGGGGGCTCTGCCTCACAAGAAGTCCCTCCATGTGGGAGCAGCCTGGGGTCCTGGTCCCTCACATCGTGCTCAGAGCCCAGGGGCCAGGCGGACTCCTCAGGGGACTCTGGGTCAGACAGACTGGATCTGGAGTGGGCTTTGCCCCAACTAGCCAAGAGACCTTGACCTTGCCAAGTTGCTTAACCTGCCTGAGTTTCAAGTTCCTCATCTGTACATTGGCGCTAATAGTAATGATAGCGATCCGAACGAATTCTCAAAGGATTAAGTGGGGGAATTTCTATAAAATGCTTAGAATGAATATTAGCAGTGGTCTACACCTGGGAGTGGACCATGGTGCGGGGGGCAGGACAGCAGACAAGAGCCCTGTCTTGCATGTGGCTGGCAGGTCAGTGACCGTGGGTCCCCACAGGCTCCCAGGCCACCTGCTCATGCCCCCTGGAGGATAGAGATGACCCAGAGGCCCGTCAGGTCCTCCCTCTGGGCTAGGGTTGGGTGGGTGGGAGTCACAAGGTGGCCCCAGGAGGAAATGGGAGGAGGCAGCTTGGAGCAAAACTTGGGACGTTTCTGGCGCTGTCGGCAAGGAGGAGAGGCGAGTGTTTTTGCCAGGGGCTGCAGGCCGATCCGCTGCTGGCCGGGGCTTCCCGGCAGGGCTCCCACAAAGGACACTGGGAGGCTGAGCTCATAAGGGGGGAACTGTGTGGCTCCCTCCCCTCCCCCCGGCAGAGGAGGAAGCGTCTGGCCAGGCAGGGCCTGGGCGTACAGCCCCCAGTGTGCTGGGACATCACTTGAGGGCTCCAGAGGGGGCGGGCACTCCCCTACCCCCCGACCCCACGCTCTTTGGCACTTCTGTCCCTGCTACCCTGCTTCTTCCTCTGACTTTCCTGCTGCTGTGGGGGCGGGGCTGCTCAGGACAGGGCAGGGAGGGTTCAAGACCACCCACCCGGTTGATGCCCACTGTTGGGGGCAGGGAACGGCTCTCCCACGTCTTGGTCTTGGTTCTTCCTTTGAGAGGAACTCCCAGGCCCTTCGTGGGGTCTCGGGGTCTTGGGAGGCAGCGAGTCGGTCAGCGGTGGCCAGGGGGCGGCGTGTGTCATCGTCAGCTCTGCCATTCAGTTTCCTCCCCTGTGGGACGGCTGAGCAGGGTTTGTGCAGCAAAGCCGTCCTACGAGTCCCATGCCCACCCCTCGGAAGCCCAGGGCTCTCCCCCCCACCCCCGTGCGTGCGCGCCTTGACCAGGGGCCCCTCGCCCGCCCCCACGTCCTCGCCCGCAGGTGTCCTGTCTGGGAGTCACCACCTTCAGCCTGTGTGCCCTGGGCATCGACCGCTTCCACGTGGCCACCAGCACCCTGCCTAAGGTGAGGCCCATCGAGCGCTGTCAGTCGATCCTGGCCAAGCTGGCCGTCATCTGGGTGGGCTCCATGACACTGGCCGTGCCCGAGCTCCTGCTGTGGCAGCTGGCACAGGAGCCCTCCCCTGCCTGGGGCTCCGAGGACTCGTGTGTGATGAAGCCCTCGGCCAGCCTGCCCGAGTCCCTGTACTCGCTGGTGATGACCTACCAGAACGCCCGCATGTGGTGGTACTTCGGCTGCTACTTCTGCCTGCCCATCCTCTTCACCGTCACCTGCCAGCTGGTGACGTGGCGGGTGCGGGGCCCGCCGGGACGCAAGCACGAGCAGTGTGAGAGCCAGCTCAACCGCACCGTGGTGGGCCTGACCGTGGTCTATGCCTTCTGTGCCCTGCCGGAGAACGTGTGCAACGTGACGGTGGCCTACCTCTCCCCGGAGCTCAGCCGCCAGACACTGGGCCTGCTGGGCCTGGTCACCCAGTTCTCCATCTTCTTCAAGGGCGCCATCACGCCCGTACTCCTGCTATGCATCTGCAGGCCGCTGGGCCAGGCCTTCCTGGACTGCTGCTGCTGCTGCTGCGACCAGTGTGCGGGCGCCTCCGAGGCCTCGGCGCCCGGCGGCCGCTCGGACAAGCTCAAGGCCGAGGCGTCCTCCTCCCTCTACTTCCATGAGCCCAGGGAGTCGCCCCCGCTCCTGCCCCTGGGTACCCCGTGCTGAGGCCAGGCCCCCCGGAGGAGCGGGATCAGGTGGGGGGCGTGGGGGAGGCGCTGTTTCTTCCCTTGTGGGTCCTGCTCCACGGCAGGGCGTGCTTCCTACAAGGGGGCCTGGGTTCCTCTCACCGAGGCTTGGGGATGTCCAGCCCCTCCCCAAGCCTGGCCTTTCCTCTCCCTCGTGGGGGCTTCCACGGGTGGGTGGTGATGCTTCTGGGTCCTGAGAACTGTCTGGAAGCTCTCAGCCCCACCAGCTGTGAACCCGCAATTCACCGGCCCGCCCTGGTCCCAGCCCCACGCCCCTGTCCCTGCCATGGAGCCTGACTGTGTTAGCTGTGAGCTCTCCAGGTGTCACCTCCCTCTGCCACTCCGGGCCCTGTTGTGGAATGGAGGGCCCTGGGGGGCAGGGGCAGGACCACCTTGTCCCCTCCCCCCTCCCTCCTTTCTTTGGGTGCCCTGGGCTGCCTAGCCCCCTCGTTAGGTGCTTGTTCTAGAAGGCAATCCGTGACCAGCAATAAACTAGGTAGAACTATCCCGGTGCCCAGTGCACGTTCTGGGGCCGTGTCCTGGCAGCACCCACATGCACCCCAGGGGCACACCCCCCCACTTTGGCCCCGCCTCATGCCCTGCACAGCCCTGTGGCCCTTGAGGGACAGAGAGGATAAAGGGCTTGGGGATCTGGGGAGGGAGTCCTCGCTGTGGCTCAACCCCAGCGGTCCCCGGAAGTCAGCAGGCTGCCCAGCAGTCTGGTGTGGAGCCCCCTCTGCTCCCCACAAAGCCCCCATTCAAGGCAACCCCGCGGCTTTCCTGTGCCCGCAGCCTCTCGCTGTGAGCTGCTCCTGCTGTTTCTTAGGACGGCCTGTTTCGCCTGCACAAGGCGCAGCTGCCTGTCCTCTGCTTGCCCCACCCCCAGCCGCCCCAGCCCCTGCCCCCATCTGCACAGACCCTGCAGCTCCTCCTGCTGGTCCACCCTTGAAGGCCCACCCCCCTCTGGGTTCTTCCAGACCCACCTCACCAGGTGGGGCCCTGAACATCCCGAATGGCTGTCCCCCAACCCCCACTGCCTCCAACTGCACCTGCCTGGCCAAGCCCAGCTCCCCTGCCCCAACCCCCTCCCCAGTGCGGAGCCTGCCTTGACCAGGAAGGAGCCAGGCTGGGGGGCAGGGGACTCTGAGTGCCCCGCCCACGCCCCTTGGCCTCAGACTCCCTCTGCCCCCTCCTGGAGATCTTAACAGCCTTGTTCTCTCGCTGGCACCCACCCCAGGGCCGGGTGACGCCAAGAGAGAGGGAGGCTGTTGCTAGGCGATGGCTGCCAAGCACACACCCTTTTGTGCTGGGGAATGACACCCACCCTGTTGCCACGGCGACCAAAGCCCCCAGCTTTGCCTGCAGAAGCTGACTGGGGAGGGGACAGGTCGCAGAGGGCCCAAGGCTTGCCCTGTGGAGTAGCCGGGGCTGCGCCCCCCGCCCCTGTCCCCCAGTCCTCTGTGCACCAGCGGCTTCATTCTGGAAGCAGCAAGAGGGTTTGTGGGGAGCCGGGGTGGGAGCTGAGGGGCAGGAAAGGGGCACCCGCGCATCCTGTTTGGGGGCCTCTGCACAAAGGCACCCCCCACCCTCCCTCCCCTGGGCTGGCCGGCTCAGGGCTGGCCGGGCGGGGGAAGGCAGAGGAGGCAAGGCCCTGCCGTCGCCGCCGCCTCTCAGTCCTGCCGACGCGGACAGCTTACAGAATCGGTCAGCAGGCCGAGGCGGCCTTGGAAAACGGCCACTGTCCCCGAGCCAGGCCAGCTGGGCACAATGTGGGGTTTGTTGCTCAGGGGTCCCAGGCTCGCCGTGGGGCAGCGCCGGCTCGGTGGTGGGTGGTGGACTTGAATACGGATGCTCAGAGGCGGCACTGAGGTCCACCCCGCTGGGGGCAGACAGCAGCCCTGGTGCCAGGTGGTGGGCCAGCAGCACCGCCCCCAGCCTTGCCCCTGCCCGGGTGATCACCTCGTCCCACTCCCAGCCCCCTCCTTCATGCGGGGAGTTGTGAGCCAGGGACTTAACCCGTCGGCTTGCTGGCCACAGCGCCCTTGCTGGGGGCACGACAGGACCTGAGAAAGGCAGTTCGCCCTCAGCTGTCCCCACGTGAGCTGCCGTGGTCCTGTCCCGGGACCATCCTGCAGCGGCAGTGGGGAGCTGGGCCAGGCGTTCTGCAGGGGCCTGCTCCATTTTCCAGGGTGGAGGGGCGGCGGAGCGGAGGAGGCGGGACTTCCTCTAAAACTGGGTCAAGATGGCCTCGATCAGAGTGAGCAGCCCCACAAGGCTCAGAGGGCCAGGGGAGAGGCGCTGGGGTGGTCCCCCCGCCCCCGGCCCCCCGGGGACACCCGCAGCCGACAGGAGGAGGCCCCGGCTCCGCAGGCCCAGGCTACCCCATGAGGACCGTGGAAAGGTTCCGGGCTCGGGCCCAGGGGCAGGGACAGAGTTCTGGTTCCGGCCCAATCTGGCTGCAGGTGAGCTCCTGGGCCTGGGGGAAAGGAGCTGACTGCAGGGAAACGGCCAATGGGTCCCGGCGCGGGCCACACCCCTGCCCGCCCCCCAACTCTGCCCCCCCTCCCCCGCCACCCGCCCCAGCCCCAGCCCCAGATCTCCATAGCGCCATGTGGCGGCTGCCCCCTCGGCACAGCGCTGGCAAGAGGAGGAGAACGCCACGCCACGGCCCGGACATGCGGGCGGGGCCGCGTGTGAAGTGCCCCTGGCTGTGGTGCCAGCCTGCACCTGCCCCGTGGCCGTGGCTCCGTGCCGGGGCCCGGTGTCGGCCGCCCCACACCACCTGCAGAAGAAGAGCCATCACTGCACACACCCCCCAACACAAAATCGGTCGTTTATTTTGTTTCTGTAGTTATTAGGAGGCAAAAAAATGTACAGTTACAAGATCGTTTTCCCAACAGAGGTTAAATGTGAGCTGAAAAGTGTAAAAAAAGGAAGAGGAACATCACTTTACAAATCATTAAATTAAACAAACGAACGAACAAAACCCAAAGGACCAGCCCCCTACGCTGAGTTCTCTCCTTGTGCAACTCTGCGAAACGAGAACAGAAAACGAGGCAGGCCACAGAGCCGGGGGCGGGGCCAGACGGGAGGGAGGTGCTGGGCGGGGTGGGCCGGGGTGGGGTGGGGCCTTGGCACCTGCTTGTGCCCCGTGGCCGCCCCCAAGGCGGCCAGGGTGGACAGGAGGCCCCTGCAGAGGCTGCCAAGCCGGTGCCATTCAAGCACCGAGGGGCTGGGCCAGGCCGGGGCCGGAACACGCAGGGCAGGGGGAGGGCAGTCCCTGCCCCCCCCCCAGCCAGCCACCACCTCTCCCGACCTGAACGCGCCCCAGGCCAGCCCTACATCTCCTTCCTCCTCTCCAGACTGCACCCCTCCACCCCGGTCCAGCGTGGCCCCTGCAGCATCAAATGGCTGATTTTAGTCTTTGCTTAAATTAAAAAATTAAAATATATATACATATATATACTGTACACACAGGACAAGAACAGAGAGTGTTGCCAAGGGAAGCGGGGGATGGGACGGGCGAGCAGTGCGGGCTGGGGGCCAGGGCTGGGGGGGGGGGCAGGGCTGGGGGAAGGGACAATGGCGGCAGGAGGCGAGGGCTCCAGAAGGGGGGGCAATTTATTTTACAATAAAAACAGGAGTTCAGACCTCAGCAGAACAGGACTCTGGGAGCCCCACAGGCCCCCCCCACGCTGAGGGAGGCAGGGGGGGCGGGGGGGGCGGGGGTGGGCGGGGAGCCCGGCTTCAGGTTTTCATGACCATGGTCCCTGGGGCGGGAGGAGGGCTGCGGTCTCAGCTTCTCCGTGACTTTGAGTGCTGGATAAGCCACTGTAGGGTAATGTCTGGGTGGGGACAAGAGACAAGGTCACAAGGCCTCCTCGTGCTGGGCACACTGGGGACGTGGCAGGAGGCCCAGAGCTTCCCCAAGTACACCCAGGGGTCAGGCCCAGAGCACCACGCTCCCAGCAGTGCTGAGCAGGTGGCATGGCCTGCTAGGGGCGGGGCTGGGAGGATGCTCCGAACCTGGGCCTCCACGGCTCCACCGCCCCCCAGGGCCACAGAGCTCTGGGTCCCGAGGCACCACACCCAGGCATGCCTCCCGCCTGCTTCCCCCACCGCTGTTCCCCGGATGCCAGCCTCTCCCCAGACCCACGCACCGATGTTGTCCTTTTCTTTGCAGGAGATGGAGTAGCAGCAGATCTCTCGGTCCTGGATGGCAGACAGATTCCTAAAAGGGAGACCCGGGTGGTGTGTGCTGGGGCTAGGACAGCCGTCGGGGCTGCCGCAGGGAGAGTGAGGCTCTGCTGCCACCGTGTGGCAGATACTGAGAACAGCAACAAACCCGGCCTCCAGGGCAGGTGGCTGGGTTAATTTAGGTGTAGGAAGCAGAGAGGGACAGCAAACTCACATTTTCTCAATCAGCTCCTTCTCATCCAGTGCTCCTGGGAGGTCTCGCTTGTTGCCCAGGACCAAGACCTGCAGAGTGGGAAGACGAGGGTTAGGTCTTGTTAAAATTAGTTAATTGATTATTTGAAAGAGAAAAAGAGAGATCTTCTGTCCACAGGTTCACTCCCCAAATGCCTGCCAACGGTTAGGGCTGAGCCAGACAAGACAAGAGCCAGGAGCTCCACCCAGGTCTCCCACACGGGTGGCAGGGTCCCAAGCATTGGAGCCATCTTCTGCTTCCTTCCCACGATGCATTTGCAGGAAGCTGGATCAGAGGCTGGGACTCCAACCAGCACGCGGATATGGGATGCAGGTATTCCAGGTGGCTTAACCCACTGCACCACAATGCTGGCCCCACCAAGTGGCATCTTAACTGCAGCACCAAACGCCCACCCCAGCTGGCTTCTGAGACCCCCATGTCCTCTGTGCAGCCCCCCAGGCCTGGCTCTGCCCTGCCTCCAGGCATGCCCCACCCTGCCCTGCCCACTCCCTCTAGTTCCTACCGGGATGCCCTGCAGCTGAGGTTTGTCCAGAAGGTTGTGGAGCTCATTCTTGGAGGCCTCGATCTTCTCCTGGTCGGCAGCATCCACCATGTACCTGGGGAAGGGACGCGCATGTCGACCCCCCAGGCCGGGAGGCAGGCAGGCAGGTAGCAAGGCGGGGGCTGCTGCCTGGGGCAGGAAACCTTTCATTGCAGCCTGTCCCCGCCAGGCTGCGCAGCTGACTCGGCTGACGCTGGTGCAGTTCTCTGTATCTGCGGCAGCGACTCCTGCACCCGGCCACATCCTGCCTCCCAATGCCTGTGACGACAAAGCTGTGACTCCCAGGCAAAGCTTGGCCCTGCAGGATTAACTGTCAGTCCCCCCCCGCCCCCTCCCAAAGTGACCCTCTTATGGTTTCATGGGAAGCCCGGATAATTTAGAATGAAAAAAGCAAAGGAAACCCCAGAACATTTTCCTGCAGTAAGATACTTTTAAAAATCAGGCTTAAAAAAAAAAAAAAAAAAACAGAAAACCCTATTGTTTATTGTTTCCAGAAAACAAAACAACCTATTGT